CGCTTATTTCGTTCCGTGACTTCCTTCCGCTCAGCACCGGCTCCATGCACGCCCCCAGTCTGAGAGAAAGTTCCCAACTTTCCCAGCACCTCTGGCATTAAGCTCCCATTGTGCTGCAGAAGTTTGTAGCGTGACAAAATAATTGAGCTAACTTCACAGAATCTTCAACGGGCAGGTATTCGCAAGTCAGGTGCAACTCCCACACGGATTTAAGGAAAGGAGGAGTGGGGTGACGAAGGGTTGTCCAGATGGGCATCAATTCTCAAAAGTCCCGGGAGGGATACACAATTTATCGCGGGTTTCCTTGGACTCTTCTGTGTTACTAGTAACACCCGTAGTGTGATTACAAAACAAACCGCAGGGGCGGATAGAAGTGCCCAGAAGACGAGGAAGAAGACGTAAGAAGATGCTGGATGACCTTGGGGACAGAAGAGGATATTTTAATTGAAGGAGAAAGTTTGAGATCGCATTAGTTAGTTAGTTAGTTAGTTATTGAAAGAGTGGGTTTCCCCATGCACTTAGACCTGTAGTGGTCCATTGTGCTTCCCTCTATGATTTTACCAGTCTCTATATCCTACCAGTACTGGTGTTTACCATCAGTCCCGCCCAGCCAGCGAGACCGGCTCTACTAGTTGAGAGGTATCTATAATGCTTCCATCTACCAGAGGTATTAGACACTGTTGTTGGGCGGGAAACGTCCGTTAATTTGGTTCAGTGACCTCCTTTGGAGATATGAGGTTCTTTTACGTGCCGTAAAGCTACGACACGGGACCCACGGCTTAAAGTCCCTCCCAGAGGACTTGTTCCCTGAATTTTTTCGCCCTTAAAAATTCGACGACTTCCGCCGGCTATTTGAACCCGCGTACTACGAGTCATGAGGTGGGAACGTTACCTCTAGACTACGGAGGCCGCTAAATCGTCTGACAGATTACTGATGATTGAATGAATTAACGAGAATGCAGGCAGCTGAGATCAAGTGTTTATGCATCTAGCACAAAGGAGTGTGATCGTGAAAGAAAGAAAAATTGACTGAGACTGCCGTAGTTATTTGTAGTTACGTTCTGTAAGTGTTGAATAAATCCGACTAACAATCCAAACCCTATCTATAGTCACTCAATTACGTGACGATACGCAGTGTATCAAAGTAATTTCTTGCAGTTGATAATTATCACGATAATTTCCTTGTAAATTCACTAGACGGCACGTCTGGGCTGGTCTGTTGTCTTCACTGTGTTTCAGATCGCAGTCTGCACGTCACTTCCATATGCATGATTTGTAATACATTATTATTATTATTATTACTACTATTATTATTATTATTATTATTAGAGGAGGTGGGTTTCCCCATGCACTTAGACCCGTTATTGGTCCATTGTGCGTCCCCCTTTAATTTCTATTGTCCCAATAACCTACCGGTACTTGTGCGTGCTATCAGCCCAGTTCAGCCAACGAGGTCGGCCCTCGGTACCTGATATTTCCCCCATCTACCAGAGGTATTGGAAACTACTTGGGGGGGAAACATGTTACTTAATTTTGCTCAGAGGTCTCCTAGAGACATGAGGATCTTTTACGTGCCGTAAATCTACGACACGGGACCCACGGCTTAAAGTCGTTCCTGGAGGATTTGTTCCCTGAATTTTTCCGTCCTTAAAAATGACCTCCGCCGGGTTTTAACCCGCGTACCTTGAGTCATGAGGTGGGAACGTTACCCCTAGACTACGGAGGCCGCTTTGTGATACATCCTGTACCCCTTCGATACTGATGTTCATTTCTTGTTTAGTGCGAGTTCGAGAAACATAGTGTCTTGAGTACCGCAATCTTCAATTATTGGTGATCCTTCCTTATTAAATGTGTATGTGCAGACGTGCTCCCATGGGTCCACGACTCCTCCTTTGTGCATTACCTTCTAAACCTTAACAGGAAAGGAGCGATTTAAGGGGCAGTGCCAACGGCTCGCAAACAGAAACGCATCTGGCAAGGGAATTATGAGAATGTTGTCGTCATATGCGTGAATAGCCAATTATGAAAAATAATCTTGAGTTTAGAGAGGAGTTCAGTCGTTACCACTCATATATCGTGGTTGGGAGGTCCAGGGTTACAATCACAATTCACCGACACTGTACGCTGACTGAGGTGTGGTAGTTTTCTTGGGCCCTTACAAATGACCTCTTTCCAGTATACATGAATATTTCTTCTTTCATAATCACCCTGTCGGTCTGTCGATGTAACCTATGCAGTTGATGGTGCATTACTAAATATAACGACGAAGAACTAATAAGGGCACGCGGTAGGATAGTTGGTATAGGCACTATGCTATAAGCTGGAAGGTCGTTGGTTCGATTTTTCAATTGACCTAATCCTTCCAGCCGTGCTATATCCCTGGGGTCGACTCAGCCTCTAATAGAAATGAGTACCAGGTATATTCCTGGGAGTAAGGGCGGCCGGCGGGTAAGACTGACAACCTCACCGTCATCTGTGAGCCGACTGTCTAGAAAATGTGGGAACCTCAACGTCCTCGACGTTTCACAACCCTATGGGCCTCCACGGTCTGTGACAGCTTTATCTTTTTGCTTTTTACGAAAAACTACAGTCTTAGCTCTTTCTCTACAAGTCTTGGGTTCGAATTTCTCTCGGATAAGGGGATATCTTTCTATGAGTCCCCAGTTACTTCAAATACTGTTACAGCAGGGCTCCAACTTAACACCGAGCAGGCCAGTGTAGCGGTAAAACTCAAGATATTCCAGAGGTGCCTAGTTTGAATTTAAGTAGGCCGTTACTTATCCTATTTGATGCTTTTCCTCAGTCATTCCACATCAATTCCATGGATTCCAAATAGGCCACGATCGCTTATTTTCAACAGAAAATTACGGTAGAGGAAGCGAAAGGAACAGAAAACGTTCAAGGTAGAAAGCAAAGATGGAAACCTCAATAGTTCGAAACATGTGCCGGAACAATAGTTTGAATAGGCCAGTTACGTTTCTGTCCAAATCCTTTCTAATTCATGAGTCATCTGGCTCCATACGGCGGAGGTACTAAAAGTATCGCAAATACACCCCCTCCCCAAAAGAAGGGAGGAACACGAGATGACTGAAGACGGTGGAAGAAAGGGAGAGAGGCTATTAATATTCCCACTGTAAATCTCGCTGAGTTATAATGCCGCGCGAATTATAGTGCCCTGTAAATATCCGATCTAATTTAGGTTCGACGTCACCTTTAGGGTAGCACGGCGTTATCACGAGGAAACAACAATGCGAGAGCCATTGGTTCCCTTCGCGCTCACCGGAGCCATATAATTGAATTTACAGCCGGAAAGACAAGTTTTATAATGCGCTTGAGAGCCACAAACAGATGACTAACTCCCTGTTGCGTGGCAACGCCGTCAACTGTTATCACAGCTCTGAGTGGTCCTTAGCCTAACGATAGGAACCAATTGGATTTGAGGACTGCTGCAGAATGTGAAAGCAAACTTAACGAATGAAATTCTCTTCGTTTACGATTCCTACACGGATACACAAATCGTTTTCCGATTTTAAAGAACTCTGATATCATCATCATGCCATTTAAAGCTATTCCAATTCAACTGCATATTAGGTCCGTAATTCTAGAGCACATGTTTGAGGTTAGAGCCGAAAAACACAGGATCTTGAGAAAATCAAATTTAATGAATATCTCACGGAAATCACGAACAGCTGGTGAGCTAGAAGCGGGAGAAGTGCGAGATGTATTCACATTTCCTGCTACTCCTCTCTGAGGCATGAGGCACCTGTCAAACGCTTCGTTTCACTTCAGTTTCTTAATCTTATACGGAGTCGGTAGGACTCCTTGGGTGGGGATCAGCCCTGTCGCAAAGCAACTACCTACACATAGGACACGACACAAACACAGAATAAACGCAGAGACTTATCCATGCCTCGAGTGGGATTCGAACCCGCGACCTTAGTGTTTGAGCGGGTGAACATATTTCCTTTCCACACATACTGCTACTAGTACCACTACTACTACTACTGCTACTACTACTACTAATGGCTCTATATACCTCTTTTGGGCCCTGGACCTTTTCTTTCAGTTTTTTAATCTTATACACAGTCGATAGGACTCCTTGGACGGGGGATCAGTTCGTCAGAAGTTCGCTCACTAGACACAGGACAACACAAACACAGAATAAACGCAGACATCCATGCCTCGAGCGGAATTCGAACCCGCGGGCCAAGATAGTTCATGCTTTAGACCGCGCGGTCACTGTGATCGGCAAAGGGTTCATAATGGAAGTGAATAAATCCAGAAACGCCCTGTAGCATTTCGTAAATATAACAACGTAAAGATGGAACGTTGCGGCAAAGTTATGTTCACTTTCACAAGAGAGACAGATAACGTTCACAACATGGCGCAACACGTGATCTATTTGTTTCAGAAAAGTAACTGACTTAAGTACGACACAAATTAACTGACTCTCTGGCAGCAGAACCCGAAGGTTCAACGCCGCTAATACCAAAGCCCGCCATTGGACACGATCCTCAGCCAGTTTCATCCACTTCTAATCCCTACAGTTGTAACTTTGTCGCCTAAGATCCATTTTAATAATATCCCCAATTTATACTCTCCAAAATACCCGGTGTACAAGATTCCCTAGGGAAATTCTGTGCCAAATTTGTTATAAATGGACATAGGATAGGACGTTCTGCTTGCCATCTGCTTTCATGCACCCTGAAGAAGGAGGCGACATATTCCTCTGAGAGGTCGGTTGACTTTCAACGGACTACAGGAGACAGAACTCTTCATAGCAACCTTAGGAACCTCAGATCCACCACAAAGAACTTCTGATAATATAGCCTGATTTCCGTGAGAATGGTAGGGAAATGTTAAGTCATGCTCTGCGGTGAACTGGACTAATGGTTATTGTTCCCTTCTTGCCCTCAGATATGATTCATTTCCATAAACCCTCTGCATGCAGAAGCGACTGTTTACTTACAGCCAACTGTACACTGGATGCGTGGCCTTACCTTGTCAAAGAGTTGCCTCCATTTCTGAAAAGAAAAAACAGAAAATTGTAATTACGGCTCTTTCAGATGCTCACAGTCTGCGAGGAGGGACACATCATCTGCAGCCAGACCGGCAAAAATACCAATCCGCACCTTCAACCCACTCCAGCAGAACCCAGGCCAGCAGACACCACACCTTCCAACCCAAGCCAGCAGAACCCACGCCAGCTGAACCCACACTAGCAGAAACCACACCAGTAGACCCCAGGCAAGTAGAACCCAGGCCAGCAGAAACCACGCCAGTAGAAGCCAAGTCAGCAGAAACCACACAAGTAGAACCCAGGCCAGCAGAAACCACGCCAGTAGAACCCACGCCAGCAGAAACCACACCAGTAGACCCCAGGCAAGTAGAACCCAGGCCAGCAGAAACCACGCCAGTAGAAGCCAAGTCAGCAGAAACCACACAAGTAGAACCCAGGCCAGCAGAAACCACGCCAGTAGAACCCACGCCAGCAGAAACTACACCAGTAGAACCCAGGCCAGCAAAAAACCACACCAGTAGAACCCAGGCCAGTAGAACCCAAGCCAGCAGAACCCAAGTCAGTAGAACACACGCTAGCAGAACCCAAACCAGTAGAACCCAGGCCAGCAGAAACCACGCCAGTAGAACCGACGCCAGCAGAAACCACACCAGTAGAACCCATGCCAGCAGAACCCAGGCCAGCAGAACCCACGCCAGTAGATCTCATGTCAGTAGAACTAAGGCCAGCAGAATCCATGCCACACCCGGGGCGCTGCTGCGTACTGTAGAACGTTTCGTCACTTCAAGCCCACTCTCCAAAAGTAAACGCATCCTGCAACATTTCGTGGGCTCCAGTAGGATTTCTTCATAGGGGTGATGGTAGCCACTTTCCCAGGGATGGGGTGCAGCCATAAATTGTACATACACACTGACATTTAAGGCGTTTAAGAATACTGTTACCGATCGCCCAGGCGTGTTCTAGGTAGAAAAGAAAAAGGTAAAGCTTTCCCTGTAACAGGCCGCGGAGGCCCATGGAGCTGTGAGATGTCGAGGCTCCCACATTTTCTAGACAATCGGCTCACAGATGGCGGTGAGGTTGCCAACCCGGTCGGTCGCCCTTTACCCCCCAGGAAGATTCCTGGTACTCATTTCTGTTAGAGGCTGAGGCTACCCCAGGGTCATAGTGCAGCTGAAAGGATTAGGTCAATTTAAAAGTCCAATAACCCCATCGAGAATCGAACCCGCGAACTAAAACAGCTTTTTAATAACTGTAATATATTTTAATAATATCTGAGACACAAATCCTCCTGTTCAATTTTTATTTCTTTCCAAAACCCAGGGGGCGAGGGGTGCCCATTCCTGCCCCCTCAAGACACCGTAAGTATTTTTGAACTCAGTGATTCTATTAATGTTCTTTTAGAAGTAGGCAGGATACTGAATTTCTAAAACTTTGAGCCGGGTTACCTCAGTCAGTATAGTGATTAGGTACTGGAAGGACGACCGACAAATCGGGTTCGATTCCCGGCAGGAACAAGAGAGATGTCCTCCATAGCGCCCAGACCGACTCTGACGTCCAGCCAGCCTCCTGCTGAATGGGGACTGAAGAGTCCATCCACAGGGGAAAGGCGGGAGAACTGTGATTCTCATGATTTTTCTCCAACTAATGTGAAGGTTAAAAATACCTGGAGCTATACCTCCACTATCCAATACGTCTTCATGGCGTGGTGCTTAACTGAGCACACCTACTGTACTTTTATGCTTCTCTGATTTGAGATCTAACATAGTGATGTCCCTTCTCCGCCTCCCTCCCCCAAATGCAGTGTCTGACTTCTCCCATGACTTTCCCTTTTCGCCGACACTTCTATTATTCGCTTTCATCGCTTCCTGTCTCGTCGGTTTCCTAGTAATTCTAGTATTGCTGATCGCGTGTTTTCTTGGAGGCTGGAACCGTATTTTTAAAATTCCTTCTCTCAGACAGCACAGCTGGGGGACTTAAAGGAGGTGCAAGTTGGCCTGATCTGGAAGCTATGAACAGGGTCCAACTTTAAGGTCCAGGGCCTGCATGGTAAAGTAGGATCAAAAGTACAAATGCAAGCAAGGGAAAACGAAATAAACGCATAGAGATAGAAAGGAAGAAAACCAGAAAGACAGTAAGACGACCTTAAAGCATAAACGAGGGGAAAATACACAGAACTAGTAACCATTGAGAATTCAATGGGTCGTCTAACCATCTTTTGTACTATTAATTTCGAAGGTCGCTGGTTCTATTTCCGATGAGGTCATTGGATTTTTCCGTTGACCTAATCTTTCCAGCCGCATTATGGACCTGGGGTTGACTAAGCCTCTGACAGAAATGAGAACCAGGAATCTTCCTGGGGCTAAAGGACGGCAGGGGCGTAAGGCTGACAACCTCACCGCCATCTGTTAGCCGATTGTCTACAAAATCTGTAGCCCCGACGTCTCACAAGCCTATTGACCTCCACGGCCTGTTGTAGGGATAGTTTTACTTTTACCTTTACCTGCTTTGTCCCATATTTCTTTCCTGGCTATGTTATCGAATGATATATAGAGGCCGATGTTTAACGTTAAATCCCACGAATAACACGCATAAATAGTCAATAGTAAACAGTCTTCTTGATGCAGTATGCTACACTTCACATATCCAAATCAAAAATTTAATCAGTTATCATAGAATAGACACGATACACTGAAGCAAAAGATTTTTTTTTTCGCTCGTTCGTGGCTACTGCATAACTTATTTTCATACAGAGTGTTGAAGTTCTAGAATTCGATGCTATGGTGAGCCGAAGTGGCGCAGTTTCATAGCTCTCAGCTCACAGTTACACACACATATATACAGTCGCTAAAAAGGAATGCAAAATGTAACATTTCGGGCGCGTTCACTCACTTATTCATTCCATGGATGTCGACTTGGGATGCCCCCTCACGGAGAGCCGCCGCGACAAAATCCGTCCAGTGGCTAACGACGCAAGATTTATGGAGAAGATGCAGTGCTTACACATCTCATCCCTACATATTCTCGCGCTGACAAATATGCAGCAAATATGACGCTTTGGCGTCGTGTTGCTTGCGAAGTCTGCGCAGTGTCTGTACGGTCACACTATACGTCATGTATTAACTGCTACATGTTTCGACCCTATGTTTGGCCATCATCAAGTATACACAGTTTTTATTACATTCGCCTTTTTGTTTGGTTGCTCGTCTCCCTGCACTGGACAATGTTTATAGAATCGGACTGTTTCTTTTCAGTTTTATTTACGTTATTTTCTTGTGAATAAGGCGAATCTTTTAAGATTAAAATTGAAAATACTATTCTTGCATAATTTCGTGTTGAATTTTCTTTTATATATACTTCGCTGAACTCTACATGGACATTACATAGAAAGAGGTTTCTTTCTTAGTTGACTGTTGAAATAATCTGTTACGCAGCAAGTTAGAAGCGCGCATCCGTCTTTACATAGAATATCAGTTCCTGTTGGATGATTTTAACAAATCCTGGAATGTGTCTATAGATTTCATTAAAGTTCCTAGTATTAAGAAGAGTGCCAACTTCTGGGGTATAGCGCCGTGCAGATTTTGTGTGAACCGACGTTTCAGAGGAACGTAACGCCTCCATCTTCAGGGTAGAAAAATCCGCGAGTGAGGAACCTATACGAGCCACATGCAGCTGGTAGCTCACGTAGGTCCTTTGCTTTTCTACCCTGAAGATGGAGGCGTTACGTTCCTCCGAAAAGTCGGTTCTCACAAAAAGTGCACGGCGCCACATCCCAGAAGACGACACCCTTCATAGTCACCAAAGTGAGAACCTCAAATCTTACTCCTAATATTAAATTTCGTCAACATCCATCAAGCCGTTTTCGCTTTTTACGATACTATAAGACTATCTCACGTCGGTGATCATCAAGATCATTATCTTCTGGCATATAACGCCGCGTAGCCCGTTGAAATTCAACCGGCGTTTCGGAGGAATATATCGCCTCAATCTTCAGGGCCAAGGCTTGTCATCTGCTTTCGCGCTGGTATCTTGTTCGGCTTATTCGACCCTGAAGATGGATTCGATATCTTCATCCGAAACGTCGCTTGACTTTCAACGGACTACACGGCGTAACGCCCCAGAAGATAGTGCTCTTCATTTTATTCTACTTTTCGTTCCAAACGCCAATTCGAGAGAAAGGAGCAAAGAGACGAGAAAAGAGGAGGAGAAGGGAAGAGTAATAAACAATAAAAGAAAAGAAAATATTCTGTAAGTAACCAATGGTTCAGGCACAAGGTATATAAACAAGGGAAAAAATTCCGTGCAAAGCCTCATAATTTGCATCCAGCCACGTCTCCTGGCTACCGCCTTGCTCTATAGGCAACTTCTCCGACACTCTTGTAGGCGTGTAGTCTAGACATCACTAGCAGGCGATGTCCGTACATGCGCGCTGGAAGTGGATGAATTCGATACGAAAACATTTCAGCGAGATTGGATGAATGCGCGGCCATTATAGAGTGGTAATTGGTGATTTACCGGCGAGCAGGCCGATCGTCACTTCGCTAATGCGGTCCGATAATAAGCATCAGTTTTCAGTGTCGACACGTAAACTGGAGAGCGACACATTTCAGTGTCGGCTGGTGAAACCCGTGAGCTTCATATTTCAGTTCCGGATAGCGCAACCTGAAAAGTAATAGTTCAGTGACCGCTCGTGGAACCTGACGTCACCATATGTAATTGTCGGCTGGTGTAACCCGAGAGAAACACATTCCAGTGTCGGCTGGTGAAACCCGAGAGCGCCATAATTCAGTGCCGGCCCACAGAAACTGAAAACGTCAGATTTCGGTGTCGGCTCTTGCGATTTGAGCGCCACGTCTCTATAGACAATAACTCAGCTGTATTTTCTGCATAAAAACTGGCAGGATTGGTATAATGCCCTTGTGTCCATGAGTGTCCCTTGTAATTATTCTTACACAAACTCAAGAAATTTAATTAACATCTGTATAAACATCATGCCACTAGAGGGAG